AGTGGGGACGAATTACAATAAATACATTTTAATTTGTTTTCAGATATGCAAATAAGTAAAATCTTTCAGCTAGTTTTAGCCATGGTTAATGTGGTTTTTCAAATATAATTCGTTTTCAAGATAAATTCATTTGCGTCCCTTATCGACTGACCTCTTTAAATAATTTGTTTTCTTATAAAAAAATAAAGGCCGTACGCAAAATTAGTACTCAAATTTTTGTGTTTATTGTGAAAATTCCTTGTATTTCAAATCACACCTAGATCCATGATCCTGTTCATTAACCCATGTCAATAAACAATAAATTAATATCCTAAGATTCTAAGTTGAATTCTGACTAAACACGTCTTTACTTTGGCGATCCTCCTTTTTCGAGAGACAAAGGCAAACTACCGAAAGTGTCTTGCCTAGAACAGCTCCCAAATTGTATTCAGGCCCGACGACAAACTATAGATTTGTCATCGACATACCTACATGTGTGTTAGACGATAAGGTGGTCCTTTTACGCTGTTCAGTGTTGTTATGTTGTTTCAAGACGAAATTAATACATACATTAGGACAAATTAAAACGAACCATTTCAACATTAAACTGCCAAAGGAGTTATGTGGTTCCTCTAAGCCGCTGCGCGTAGTGCTTCAAAATTAAAACCTCGCCTGTAAAATGCTACCTACAGCATTCATAATGTAAATAACTATTCTTACGCGTGGAACATACAATTTTTTTGCGTACTCGTTTTTTTATGTTTTTAAACAAAAATTTGTTGATAACAACAGAGTAAACAACTTCATAAAATGATTAATTCAGAAGAACTCGACATTTTCGGCGAATCTGCGGAAGCAGTAGCTGTTAAATCAAAAAGTAAGTAGGAAAAGTGTTACCAATACTTCAGTGATTGGAGAACAACAAAAAATACCAATGCGGTTGCTAACTGGAAAAGTGTTGCTAACTGGAAAATTGTCACCTTTCTTTATTGTTTTCGATAAAACAAAAGTATGCTTTTGCAATGAGTACACGAAAAAATAATTCTTTCGGTAGTTTTCATTTAATAATAATGGCAGGACATGTATAATTAAGCATTGTTCGGAATCAAATTGATATTATCATTTTCTCATGAAAAATTAAATTTAACGAGTCGAACTCGAACCATTTGAGATGTTTTTGTACATCCTGGTATGCAGTGGCGGCTCGTGAAGTTTTCTTCAGAGGAGGCTCAAATTTGAAGAGCACTACTTTTTATTATCTGAATATTTTTTTTTTGTCATGCCCACGAAAATAACACTCCTGCGTTGATAGATAAACTATTGCACGATTAGTCTTTTCAAAATTGCCCTATTTTTACCAACTTTCTCGTTATAGTTCTCAATATCCCTTTTATGAGCGGAATCTAAAGTAGTAGAAGTAAATATGTGTTCCTGTGATTTTTCATGCCTTTCTATTGCTCATGACAAGTTTTGTAAATTATTATAGCCTGTTTTATCCCAAAGGGAAGATTTATCACTTGTGAATAATACACAATGCCAACAGTATAATTTGTTTCTTAAAAAACCGAAGCCGTTAACCATTTAGTTTTATTATAATTATTTTCATGAAATGCTCTGTTTTGCTTTCTACCTGTCATTACCATTAATGGGAGTGGTGGTGTTGGTTTCCCCTTTTGTTTTATAGCGATCTTTTTATCACAATCAAAGCTACTAAATTCATTTTTACTTCCCGAGCGCAAGCAAAGGAAGTATTGTAATCGAGTCCGTCGGCCGACTCCCTACTTTTACGTTTTCACGATCTTTCATGACCCCTAGAAGACGAAGAAATAGGTCTCTCATTTCCGTCTGTCTGTCCGTCTGTCCGTCTGTCTGCCGTCCCGGATTTTTATTAGACAGATAATCTCCGAAAGTACTGGACCGATTGTTGTGATATTTTGTACCTATATTAGGAATATCATGTATATGGTAAAACGCTAACCAAAATTTGTCTAATCATCCCCACCACTAATGCGATGACGTCACTTTAAAATTGTACATAGTAAATGGGTTTAAAATTGTATAAAATAACATACTCCTACACATGTAGTTTACTACTCCGACTTGAGTTTTTACCCGAAACGTCCAGATTTTTGGAAAAAAAACAAAATTATAAAACAACATTTTGCAATTTAATTTTCAATCTGCTAACCCGAATGTTTTGAAATGTTGCAGATATTTTAAGGTTATAAAGAGCATCATAAATCTTTAGTCAAAATATATTTGGTTATCCCCTCCAAAAACTTGATGACGTCAGCTCAAAGGTTTGCCCATAAATCCTATCTAAAATGTACAAAATATGATGAGTTTGTACTTGTGATATATAACTCCATTCATATTTTTTGGATTTGCATATACAGGGTGACTCCAAAAAATTAATGAATGCCTAAATTTATTTTATTGATTTACTCAGGAACTACAAAACCGAATGCTTTGAAATCTTGAAGATGTTTTAAAATTATCATAAGCATGGTAAATTTTTGGTCAAAATGCATTTGGTCGTCCCGCCCTAAAAAATTCATGACGTCACCACAAAATTTTGCTTAATAAATCCTATCTAAAATGTACAAAATATGGTGAGTCTCTTCATGTGATTTATCATTCCATTAAAATTTTTTCGATTTGCATATACAGGGTGACACAAAAAAATTAATGAATGCGTGAATTTATTTTATTGAGTTAATCAGGAACTACAAAACCGAATGCTTTGAAATCTAGCAGATGTTTTAAGGTTATAAAGGGCATAATAAATGTTTAGTCAAAATATATTTGCTTATCCTCTCCAGAAAATTGATGACGTCAGCTCGATAGTTTGCCGAATAAATCCTATCTAAACTGTACAAAATATGATGAGTCTGTAGTTGTGATTTATCACTCCATTCATATTTTTTGGATTTGCATCTACAGGGTGACTCCAAAAAATTAATGAATGCATAAATTTATTTTATTGATTTACTCAGGAACTACAAAACCGAATGCTTTGAAATCTTGAAGATGTTTTAAAGTTATCATAAGCATGGTAAGTTTTTGATCAAAATGTATTTGCTCATCTCCCCTAAACAATTTATGACGTCACCACAAAATTTTGCTGAATAAATCCTATCTAAAATGTACAAAATATGATGAGTCTCGTCTTGCGATTTATCATTCCGTTCATATTTTTTCGATTTGCATATCTAGGGTGGCACAAAAAAATTAATGAATGCGTAAATTTATTTTATTGATTTAATCAGGAACTACAGAACAGAATGTTTTGAAATCTTGCAGATGTTTTAAGCATTTAAAGAGCGTAATAAATTTTTAGTCGAAATATATTTGGTTATCTTCTCCAAAAAACTGATGACGTCAGCTCAAAAGTTTGCCGAATATATCCTATCTAGAATGTACAAAATATGATGAGTCTGTACTTGTAATTTATCATTCCATTCATATTATTTGAATTTGCATGTACCGGGTGACTAAAAAAAAAAATGAATGGGTGAATTTATTTAATTCATTTAATCAGGAACTACAAAACCGAATGCTTTGAAAACTTGGAGATGTTCTACAATTATCATAGGTATGGTAAATTTTTAGTCAAAACATATTTCCTCATCCCCCCCTAAAAAATTAATGACGTCACCACAAAATTTTACTGAATAAATCTTATCTAAAATGTACAAAATATCATGAGTCTTTTCTTGTGATTTATCATTCCATTCATATTTATTGGATTTTCATATACAGGGTGACCCAAAAAAATCAATGAATGCGTAAATATATTTTATTGATTTAATCCGGAACTACAGAACGGAATGTTTTGAAATCTTGCATATGTTTTAAGGATTTAAAGAGCGTAATAAATTTTTAGTCAGAATATACTTGCGTATCCCCAAAAAGTTTGCCGAATAAATCCTATCTAAAATCTACAAAATATGATGAGTCTTGTAATTTATCATTCCATTGAGTGACTCAAAAAAATTAATGAATGCGTAAATTTATTTTATTGATTTACTCAGGAACTACAAAACCGAATGCTTTGAAATCTACTGTGAAAAAAAACATAATATGCATGCAGTCGTCACGTTTCCGACAGCGAGGGAAGTACTGTCTAAACTCTTTAGACCAATTTTTTAATAGATAATTTACGTATCTGCACATGAGACTGAATTATTTTCGTTGCTCATTCTCGTTAAGTGTAAGTAATACTCTAATATGAATATGCCGATAATACCAGCTGTTTTTAACGATCAGAAATAAAACGCAAATAAATGATACAAAAAACACCTTAGGCTTTACGTAGGTACTAAAGCCTAAACACTACTCACCACTGTATAGGGAGCACGCGAAACGACCTCAATGTTTTTCCAATTTACACCCGATCACGCCAATTAATAAGAAAGAGATAAAATTATCCGTGCGACTTGATTTGAAAAGAGATGAACTAGCCGGAGGCTAGCGGCCTGAAGCGGCACCCCGATCAACGTTTTAGCCAATGCAGTACCGAATGACGATGCGTCAATGTTGCGGTCTCAATAGTAAGATGCATTCTCGGCGGAGGCTAGCCTTTATCGCTGAAGCCAAACGCGGAGTGGTGTGAATTATGATTGTAAGGGCGCAAATATAATTTTTTTCGACATTTTAACCTGATAACTGATGAAAGTAAATTAAATCAAACAAAATATTCTGAAAAGTAACAAATGTCTACAAAAATACAAATTCTTTCATCGAAAAAAATTAGAGGAAGCTCAGCTCCAAAAATCAGAGGAGGCTCAGCCTCCCCTGCCTCCTCTAAGGAGCCGCCACTGCTGGTATGAAAAATATGAGTGCTGGTTTATTGGTAGCCGCCATATATTACGAAAGTATGTAACCTAAAGGCATAGATTTAAAATATTTGGCCGACCCGAAATTTTGACCCACCAGCCGCCACTGGTGTATATTTTACATTTTATAAAACACTACATGTTAAAATTCGCTTTGCTAGGTACTTTTTTATTAACACTTACCATCCTCGTCTGTTTGACATAATATTGCTGTAGATAGTTTTCCATCTCCAACTTTAGTAAAAGCTAATACTTGTAAACTGTAATTAGTAAATTTTTTAAGTCCTGTGATTACTGTTGTTAGTGCCTTAGTTTTTCTTGTTTCGATTTCATCATTTCCTGAAATAGAAATAAATATATAAATTCTACTCGATTAATGATAATGAAATACACAAATTTTGAAGTTATTTACACAGAACTCCCAGAACACAATGAAGTTAATTTTTTATGCCAAATGGTACTATGCTCCCGGAAAGTTAAGAGGAGTCACGTCTGGTACTTGTGGATACAGAATATAATATATCCGTTATTAACATATGTGGTAGCTCAGCGGCTTATTGATAATAAAAATAATACAAGTCAAAAGTATGGGTATGAGTTCTCGAAGGGACGGCAATTCTCGTCGGGGATGGTGGCGGCTGCTGGAACTCGGAGCGTCGTAGGGGATGACGGCGGTGGTGTATGCAGAACAGGGGACCTGGACAGTGCGACCCTGGAGATGATGACGACGTCGGCGATGCGGCACAGGGGACCGTAAAGCAATGCAGCACTGGAGATGATCTCGAAGCAGCGCAGGGGACCGTAAAACAGTCCAGCCCTGGTGATGATCTCGAAGCAGCGCTGGGGACCGTAAAACAGTGCAGCGCAGGTGATGATCTCGAAGCGGCGCAGGGGACCGTAAAACAGTGCAGCCCTGGTGATGACCAGAAGGGGACTTAGACAGTGCAGCACTTAAGGTGGAGATGGTGGAGTTCCATCTGTGCGGTGCTCACCAGAAGGGGATCGAGACAGTGCAGCCCTTAAGGTGGAGATGGTGAAGTTCCATCTGCCTGAAAAGTGGCCACGCTGGCCCTTTTATAGGCAGGGTTTAGTTTGAGTAGTGACGCAGCTCAGGTGGGGTGCGTTCCGGTAGGGGTGAGCATGGTGGGGTTGATACTGGCGCTGCCGAGGACAGCGCACTCGAGAGGGTACTAGCTCCGCTACACATACTTACTGTTATGCTACTTTAAAAATATAACATATCCACACTGTCCATTATACATATAACACGAGAACAGTTTTTAAATAACAGTTTACTTTACTTTGTAATCGAGTCTATCAACCAACTCCCTACTTTTATGTTTTAATAAAATAATAAATTAATATCAATAATAATAATAATGTAATAGTCACTCAACAGGCTACTTGGCCCAGTTACAGAGTTACTCAACCAAAAAAAAAGAAAAAAAGAATTAAACCGAAAAAACCGAGACTTTCTTTTTAATCCGCACAACTAATAACAGCTATTTTACTGCTATTTCTATAAAGATACAAGCTCAAACGGATTAAAAAATTGGTTGAAAGTTGTTTCGACGGAACCTTCCTCGCTCCTGAAGTACAATGAAACATATCCAGCATTTTTCAGTCGATTTTTCTTTACACAATTTTGTGATGACCTCATCAACATTTTTGCAAAGACACGTATATTAAGTTGGACTGGTGCAGTGTAATACTAAAAATAACAATATTGTATTCCCAAAATTTTCTGAGAAAACGGAGTGAGCCATTTTTGATTTAATCAATAAAATGAACTGACTCGTTCATTAATTTTTTTGAACCACCGGTTTAACCAAATCTAAAAAATATGAATGCAGTGATAAACCACAAGTAAGAACTCATCACAGTTTGCACATTTTGGGTAGAAATTATTCGGCAAAATTTTGATTTGACGTCATCAATGTGTTGGGGTGAATAAACAAATAAATTTTGGAAAATAATTTACCATGCATACAATAAGTTTAAAACATCTCCAAGATTTCAAAGCATTTGGTTTTGTAGTTCCTGATTAAAATGTAAAAGTAGAGAGTTGGCCGACGGACTCGATTGCAATCCTTTCTTCGCTTACACTCGGGAAGTAAAAATCAAATATTTCCTTGTCCCACAGTGGTTCGAATATGGAATACGTTGGTACAAAATAGATCAATACTGCCTTGAATCAATAATTACAAATACGCTGATGCAGTGAAGAAGCCTTCATGATATTAGTCCTGACTATTGGAACTTCAAACGTAATAACATTTCTGAGATGGGATGCAGATGTTCTAAATTTTAATTTGCTTAATAGGAATGGTCAGTTTGGCGAGTGGTGTGAATGACAAGTAATATGCCCGATTAGCGTTTATTTACAATATGTACATTAGTGAACGACTGACAACACAATGTTCTTCCTTGGCGCGCGGGAACCGACTGGCTTCTTTTCTTCCCTTCAAGGACCTCGTTGCGTGTTGTCACTTCCGGTCGATTTGAAAGTTTACCGCCACAGTTAGTCATTCCGTCTATGCAAGAGATGAAATAACATCAACACAGAATCGACAATTCTTTTACAACAAAGGCTTTTCAACTGGAATCTTGCTAACAACAATTCGCGTGGATAACCTTGCACTGGATGCACACCATCTATTCTATAGGCCGTGTACTTAAGAGCAGGTTTTACTCAAGCCATTCATTCATTCGTTTCTCGAACTGTGAAGTTAGTGAATTCTGAGGGACGTAAACATTTTCGAGGGGAGAGGTGAATGTTAGTCACAGTGTACACAGAAAGATTCAACTTAGTTCGGGTACCGTCGTCGGCTTGTATAGGAACAATATTTCTACTATAAATTGAAATTTTGACGTGAAACTTGGTTTTAAAGTTCTTCAACACAAATAATGAAACACGTATTTAAGCATTTTCCGAGAGTCAACCCCTAAGGGGGTGAAAAGTGGTGGCTAATTTTGTATGCGAAAAATATTTCTATTGTAAATTTTGAGGTGATGTTTATTTAAAACTTGGTATTAATGCTCTTCAACACAAATAACGAAACACGTATTTGAGCATTTTCGGAGATTTGACCCGAAAGGGGGTGAAAAGTGGTATCTAAATTTGGGCGGCTAAGTTTGCATCGAAACAATATTTCTACTATAAATTGAAATTTTTACGTGAAACTTGGGATTACTGTTCTTCAACACAAATAATGAAACCGGTGTTTAAGCATTTTCTAAAATTCAACCCCTAAGGGGGTGAAATGTGGAGGCTACGTTTGTGTGGGAAAATATTTCTATTGCATATTTACAATTTTACGTGAAACTTGGTAATAATGCTCTTCAACACAAGTAATGAAACACGTATTTGAACATTTTTCGAGATTCAACCCCTAAGGGGGTAAAAAAGGGTGTGGCTAAGTTTGTATGAGAAAACTATTTTTATGGTGATGTTTACTTAAAACTTGGTATGAATGCTCTTCAGCACAAATAATAAAACACGTATTTAAGCATTTTTCCAGATTCAATCCCTAAGGGGGTGTAATATGGTGGCTAGATTTGTGTGGGAATATTTCTATTGTAAATTTAAATTTCTATGTGAAACTTGGCATTAATTGTCTCCAACACAAATAATGAAACACGTATTTAAGCATTTTTCGAAATTAAACCCCAAAGGGGGTGAAAAGTGGTGGCTAAAATTGTATCGGAAAAATATTTGTAAATTTAAATTTCTACGTGAAACTTGTTATAAATGGTCTTCAATACAAATAATGAAGCACGTATTTAATTATTTTCCGAGATTCAACCTCTAAGGGGGTGAAAAGTGGTGGTGAAGTTTGTATGGGAAAAATATTTCTATTGTATATTTACATTTTTAGGTGAAACTTGGTAATAATGTTCTTCAACACAAGTAATGAAACACGTATTTGAACATTTTTCGAGATTCAACCCCTAAGGGGCTGAAAAGTGGTGGCTAACTTTATATCGCAAAATTATTTCTATTGTAAATTTTTGACATGGAATTTAGTATTAATGCATAGTGGAACACGTAATTAAGCATTTGCCGAGATTCAGCCCCGAAGGGGGTGAAAAGTACCTACTGGTTAAGTTTGTACAGGAAAAGTATTTCTATTGTAAATTTAAATTTTTGCGTAAAACTTGATATTAAATTAATGCTCTTCAATATAAATAATGAAACACTTATTTAAGATTGTTTCGAGATTTCACCCCTAAGAAAATGAAAGGGGGTGACAAAGTTGTTATGATCAAACATTTTTTATGTCGATTTTTACTGGAAATTGTATTAATGTCCTTCAACACATTGTTTACTTGAAGGTTGATAATAATGCTCTTCAGCACAACGAATCGTCTACGCGAGCGAAGCCGCGGGCGAAAAGCTAGTATAAAATAATCCAATAAAATTAATAATCAAGTGTAATAACAATAATTGTGAATAAAAGAAAAGTTATTTTTAAAAACAAGTTTATTAAACCAATAACCTTAACTGGCGCAGTGGTACGGAGCGTCTTAAGAAACAAAAATCGTTCAAGACCGATTCCGAAAAAGAACCACTTCAACCGCGAAAATCTCGGACAGCGGAAGCATCGCCGAAACTTCGCATCATCTCCGCATCGCCTTCAGAGCAGGTTTTACTCAAACCATTCATTCGTTTCTCGAACTGTGAAGTTAGTGAATTCTGAGGGACGTAAACATTTTCGAGGGAAGAGATGAATCTTAGTCACACTTAGTTCGGGTACCGTCGTCGATTTGTAACACTCCGCCGATTATAATATGACAAAAGTATTTCAAAATACGATCTCGTGGTGTCTGTACTTTGCGTTTTAGAGTGGGAGTAGATGTGAGTAAAGCACCATATTAATACAAGCAGACGCAAGCAATAAAAGTTTGCATCTTAGAAACTTTTACGCTGTAAGATTTTCGAGTCCTAGGTTGGTATGTTGATATGTCGTTACTGTTTTGTGGGTGGTACACATCTTTGACACACAGTTGACAGATCAACGTGTTTGAAATAAAGGTTGGTCTGTGAGGTTAGTGCAATATTTAATTGTGTTCTCTATAAGTTATTATTAAGACATTATTAAAAAAATTGGTGTACAATATGGTTGGGTGTTCAGCTGCAAACTGTTCGAACAACAGTCGTCATGGATGTTACAAATTTTTTCGTTTTCCAAGCGACTTACAACGGCGTAACATGTGGAGCAAAAATTGTGGAAGAACAAACTGGTTTCCTACACCAAATAACTATTTGTGTAATGTAAGAGAAAGCGTTTTAATTGAGTACAAAGTATATATTTACTTAAAATGCGTATTTCAGATGC